GACCGCGGTAGCTCCAGATGCGGCGCCGCGCCCCTCCCACTCGGAGCGCGCACCCTACGCGAGCTGCTCCAGAACGCGCCCCGCGGCCAATCACGGCTCCCACCTGGGCGGAGTGACGGCCAGCGCCCCGGGCCAGCGGCGGACAAAGGGGCGGTGTCGCCGCGCGCTGGCCAGCCAATTGCGGTCGCCCGGAAGAACTGCCGGGGGCTTCCAAGGTAGGTTGCGCTGTGTGTAGATGACGTCATGGCCTCTCTCTTAAAGGGGACGCGGGTGAAGTCAGGAATCCGCGAGGTCACCTGGCGAGGAAGATGCCTTTCGGGCCCCCAGCATCTCCGATGACGCTCCTTCGTGATCGCGCAGTCCCCCAGGAGGCTGGCGCTGGCTCTTACGCCCAAAGCATTTATGGAGCACTGAGGAGGATCCTTTCCCTTGCAACAATTACAATTTAGTGGTAACTTGGTAGCTGGCGTTTATCCAGCACCTACTCTGGTGCTTGCGGAGCACTCCTACCCACTTTGTATAGATTATATTAAATGGGGCAATAACTCTACCAGATAATTGTCTTATTATTCCCATTTTACAGATGTGGACACGGAGGAGCCTACCCAAGCATATGGAGCTAGTAACAACTGGGATTAGCACGTGGGTGGCCTACAGCCGCCCTGGAATCAAAGGCTGTAACTAACAGTCCTTAATTCACTTACCAAACTGAGCCATAGTGATTTGCCTCTATATGCACCTTTCCCATTAGACTGTGACATCAAATTTAAATTTGGTAAAATTGGAGACTGTGATACAGAAAAGTTCTGAAATCATAAGTATACATTCAGCAGATTGTCACAATATGGACACACATGTAACCATCACTGAGTTTTAAGAGCAGCATGACCGGCACTTCCGTAGCTCACCAGTAGTCACTGCCCTGTTTCTCCTCCCAGGTGACCATCCTCCTGAGTTTAGCACCACAGGTTAGTTTTGCCTATTTCAGAACCTAGTGCAAATGGAATCATAGGTATGTATTCCTTTGTATCCGGCATCTGTGCATCCATAAAATGGGTCAATGTGCAGCTGTTTAAGTTAGTACGGGAATGTTACATAACCTGATACGAAACACATCAGGACATATGGTTAAATCAAAGCAAACAAAGCCAGACACAGTGTCCAGAATGCTGTTTGTGTGAATGGCTCTGAAGAGAAGATGAGGCACCTTCGAGACTCTTTCATATGAGAAAGGGACCATTGGTAGGTGTGTGTAAATGAGGGGAGAATTCTTTTTACAATATAAACTTTTGTATTGAATTGTTTTTAACTTGTTTATGTATATGTTGCTTTTGTTTCTCATTTTTATCTTACTAAAATACACATAGCATATAATTGATCATCTTAACCATTTTAAGTGTACAGTTAAAAACTGTACAGTGGTATTAAAAGCATTCGTAATATTGTGTTATCACCACCATCCATCTCCAGAGCTCTTTCATCTTTTGAAACTGAAACTCTATATCCATTCAACACTAACTCCCCATTTCCCACAGTCCCTGGCAACCACCATTCTACTTTCTGTTTCTATGAATTGACTAAGTACCTTGAACCTCTCTACTGTTTTCCATGGAAGCAGCACCACTGACAGTGCACAAGGGTTCCAGTTTTTCCACATCTTCCCCAATACTTGTTATTTTTTTTTAATATATAGTAGCCATCCTAATGAGTATGAGGTGTCATCTGGTATCTCATCATAGTTTTGATTTGCATTTCTCTAATGATTCATGACGTTGAGCATCTTTTCATGTGCTTAGTGTCCATTTGTATGTCTTCTTTGGAGTTATGTCTGTTCAAGTCATTTGCCTATTTTTGAATTGTTCTTTTTTTCCTGCTGTTGTTTTTTTAGAAGTTCTCTATATATTCTGGATATTAATCCCTTATCAGATATATGATTTGCAAATATTTTTCCCATTCTGTGGGTTGCCTTTTTACTCTCATAGTGTTTTTGATGCACAACATTTTAAATGTTTTGTGGTCTAACTTGTCTGTATTTTCTTTTGATGCCTCTGCCTTTGGTGTCATTATCTGAGGCACCAAATCCAATCTCCAGAAGCTTTTTACCCGATGTGCTCTTCTAAGAGTTTTATAGTTTTAGCTCTTAGATTTAGGTCCTTAACTCATTTAATATTTATATTTGGTGTTAGATAAGGGACCAGCTTCTTTCTTTTGTATGTGAATATCCAGTTTTCCCAGCACCATTTGTTGAAAAAGACTGTCTTTTCCCCATTAAATGGTTTTGGCACCCGTGTCAAAGATCATTTGATCATATATGTGAGGGCTTATTTCTGGGCTCTCTATTTTATTCCATTGGTCTGTATGTCTGCTTTATGATATATTACTTTAAAAATGAAATAAAATACTCACGTGAACAGGTGTCTGCATAACAAACATTTATAAAAGAGCATTTATGAAAGAAGGCCAGGGTCCTGGCTCTGAAGAAATTCCATGGACACTAGACAACAGGGGTAACAGTGTTGGGGGCAGGAGCGGCCCTGCAAAAGGGCCCCCAAAGTATGCTTTTGAAGGCTATAGAGCAAACCCATCTACAGAGGCAGGAGGGCAGGCTCCCCAGTTATCCTCGGAGACAACTAGAAAGAGGAGGAGCTCAGAAGCCTTACTTTGGAGGGAGAAGGAAACAAAGCGAGAGAGGAAGAGAGGAAGGTGGGTAAAAGAATGATAGTGTGAGAGGGAATCCCGCAGACACAGAGGACCAGCTATTCGCTCCTGCTCCTTGGAGCCACCGTCTCGGCATCTTCCAAACAGCACCTCCTTTCTCGCCTGAACATCACCCCAGCACTTCGATTCCGTTGCTCTTCTCAGTCTCAGTCACTGTTACTTACACCCACTTTGCTAATAAAGGTCACTGACCCTGAGAAGGATTATACATGTCAAAAGGGACTCCTCATGGTTAACTGGGCCCAAATTCATAAGCAGAGTCTAGCAGCCGTTGTTTACAGGGGGCCTTTCACTGATGCTGCATTTCAGGGAAACACCACAGAGGGGGCTGCTAAGACTCCTGCGTGTGTTCCTTTTGGTTAAGTCCACCCTTATAAAGGACTTTCTGGGGTGGTATTTTGACCGAAGATGGGTTGAGACGAGCCCTGTCCAGTTGGATCTGCCCAGTTATATGCTCATTTGCATATATATGTGTGTGTGTGTATATATATATATATATATATATACTTGGTTAATCCTCACTTGAGGTTATTTTTTCCATTGATTTTTAGAAGGGAGGGGGAGGGAGGGAGAGAGAGAGAGAGAGGGAGAGAAATATCGATGTGAGAGAGACACATCAATTGGTTGCCTCCCACATGCACCCTCACTGGGGTGGGGATCGAACCTGCTACCCAGGTATGTTCCCTTGACCAAGAATCGAACCTATGATCCTTTGGTCCTGAGGCTGAGGCTCTAACCACTTAGCCACACCAGCCGGGGCCTCATTTGCATCTTTACAACCAGTCAGAGCGGCTCCATACCGACCAATCAGGACATGTGATTCTGACCAATCAGGACTTTGCAGTTTGGGCTAATCAAACTGGGCAAATTTGGATCCTTAATTTGCATAAAAATGGACCAATCAGGGATCAGGGCAGGCACTTTATATAAGTGGGCCTCTGCTTTGCCTCCAGGGAGCAAGAACACTTTTGTTTTCCAGTGGGGGCTGCTTTGACTCCATTTCCCAGGCATCCCGGACTGGGGATGCCTGTTGGCATTGGGTTGGTGGCGCCCACCTTTTGTTGACAAGACAAAATGCACCAATGTAGGTAAGTCCTTAGCACA